TGTTATTATAAAGGATTTGTAAACTTTTATATTGCTATCTGTTTTTATGTTTCTTGAGACAGTTTAATATATTGTAATATATTTTGTGATAATGGTTCGTAAATTTTCATATCCGAATTCTTTCAAATTTTTCACAGCATATTATAGATATTTATCGAGAAAACTCTGAACTTGTTGCGTTTCTTCATTTATGATGCCATTTTCATAATATAAAATACTATTTGTAGGTGAATGAATGCCAAATGCAACTGATCCTCTCCTTGTCATTAATTTTTTGGTTATTTCCCCTCTCCACTTTATTTCTGTTTCCTCTTTTTGTCGATTCTACTTGGTCTCACCAACATGTTCCTTCATGGTTTCAACACGTCTTTATAGTATTTTCAATTTGACTATTTTCATCTGTTTACTCTTTCGCCAACACCTTCATTCACCCCCGAAACTTTATGTTGTCCGTTCCTTACCTTCCAAGTCATTTCTTTTTAATTTTTGTGTTGTGTATCCACTATATCGCTTGTTTGATTAATTTTTGTTGGTATAATTCTTCCTCTTTTTGTCTTCTGTTTTCTCTCCTGTTCTTTTAATTTTTTCATCTTTCTTCTTGTATCTGCATATTCCTGTAACCTCTTTATATATTTCAAAATATCCCATTCTCTCTATGATGGAACTTCTCTTCTGTTATGTTTCCTGTTTTAGACCGAACAATTGTATTATGATAGCGTTTACTAACATGTTCATTGGCACAGGACTTTTCGATAGTTTTTTTGGTAGACCAATATTCTGCCGCAGAGAAGTAGAAAGCTCAAAACCACACAGCCAAGAAAAATCAGTGGTCCAGAGAAAAATTATGTTTTCCAACTACTTACATTCGTTATTGATTGTTCGTAGTTTGCTGGCCCAAAACAACATCGCAATCATGCCTCAGCCACCGTATTCACCAGATTTATCCTCCTGCAACTTTTTTCTGTTCTCAAGATTGAAGAAACACATGAAAGAACGGCGTTTTGTGACGATTGAGGAGATATAAACAGAATCGTTGAGGTAGCTCAAGGATATACCCAGAAGTGCAAGACAGAACTGTTTCGAAGATTGAAAAAAACACTGACACTCTGAGGGAGACTGCTTTGAAGGGAACAAAATAAAATTCGATGAATGAATAAACATGTGAAATAAAATGAAAATCCACCCTATTTTTGGAACTAACCTCGTATAATAGCTTCTTCAGACGTACCTGAAGAAGATGTATTGTAAAACACGTGTAGTGATTTTGTAAACTATTAGGTGAAAATCCCTCAATGAATTTGAATACGTTTTAATAGAGTTTCATCAAGTATCGGCCAGTTCCAATACATTTAGACATTGATAATTTTGAATGGAAAGCTGCAACATGGATTCACATTTGAACAATATGGCGCAATTTTGTCAAATGTTTAATATGTTAAAAAACGTGTAGCTGGTTGTGTCTATGAAAATTTTTTCCAACTTATTGTTGAAAATATTTGAAACTTTGAGTGTCAAATTTTCAACAAACCGTTTTACAAAAACGTAACAGGTGTTTCTCTATAGAATATCTTCTTCGGGTTTTAATATACTGTAGTCTATACTATATCTACACTATACTGTGTCTATACTATATCTTTATCTATATTATACTGTGTCTATACTATATCTAAACTATACTGTGTATATACTATAGTATGAACAAGCCCGATAAAACTAGTGTATAGCGCACGTGTTGCGTTTCTGTAAAATTGGTCAGTAAAAATCTGACAACAAACCAATACAAACTAAATTGGCGTCTTAGCCAATTTGGATGAAAAAAAATTTTTTTTTCATTTCCTGAAGACGCCAACTCAGTTAGTAAAACGCGCTTCGAGAGAAGTGTTGCAGTTCTGGTATTTTATAAACACAATTTGTTTTGGATTTTTTACGCGACAGAGGATCCAGTTTCACCTTTCATTTTGAAATATGGTCACTTTGTATACATATCTTCATTCACGTTACTGTTTTCTTAGTGGCATTTTTGTCACAACCAATTCCCTTTAGGCCAATCCCAGGTGTGAAACACTCATCAAGTATGCTAGCAAACATGCGTATTTATGTGTTACACACTTGGTATTTATGAGAGGTTGCAACAATTAATCGGTATCTACAAAGTAAATATCAATTGTTTGGTTAGTTTAACAAATAACATTATCACCAGAGTGTGCCGTTAAGTATATTTGAGAATGTAAGACGTTCTATTGTTCACGAATTCCGTTCATGGGACTCAGATTCATTAATGAATCATCGAAAAGTACATCTTTCCTTATAGAAAACATTTATATTCAACGTCTATATATGAGATCATTCCACATTTTTTTCCAAACTGACTTGCAACTCACCAAACATTGTGGCAGTGAATACATTTTTTTTCAGACCCTTGCATATTTTTTAGGTTTGCTCCTTTTCATTGATATTTGATATTGATATTTCTAAGGCCTTTTATTGTGTGTAGCATGAGGGTTTGCTGGCCCAACTTCGATGCTACGGCTTGTCGGATCATTTTTATATATGGCTCTTCAGCTTCCTGAAAGAATGTTTCCTGCAAATTTCCGTCGATGGATATCTATCAAATACTTTCATCATCAACGCTGGTATTCCCCAGGCATCCATATTATCTCCAACCCTCTTTTTATTGTATATCAACGTCTTATTTTTAAAAACCAAGAATCCAATATATTGCTTTTCTGACGACAGCACACTTTCCACGTCATTCCATTTGGATTACAGGACATCGACTACGGAGGCACATCTTCACCGGCAGCAGGAGGTTGCACATCTTAATAAGGATCTAGAAGTGATTTCGAATTGGGGTGAAAGTGACCAGGTTCAATTCAATGCCATAAAAACCCAGGCATCGATTTTCTTCTAGGAGATAAATGTATCCAAATCGGATATAATAATGTCATGTCAAACAATTCCGCTACTTGCTTCGATAAGTTTGTTGGGGGGTTAAAGTAGACACCAATATGTCTTGGCACAATCATGTCGCTGGAATTGCAAAGGCTGCTTCTCAAAATCTTGGAACACTGTTCCGAATCGGAAAACTGTACACACCCCAGCAACTTTTGATGTTTAATAAAGCTCAGATCAGACCTTCTTTGGAGTATTGTTCTCATGTATGAAGCTCTGACCCCAAACACACTCTGAAGCTGCTGGATTCTATCCAGAAAAGAGTCATATGCCTGATTGGAGACGTGAACATCACTTACAACTTGGATAGTTTGGAAAATCGAAGAAATGTTGGAGATTTGTCTCTCTTTTATAGATACTTCCACGTGAAGTGTTCAGGTGACGTGGCACATTTGATTTCAGCAAGAGCGCTACATATCAGAAATAGGCGACGGACTGTGGCTGCTCATCTGTGGCTAGATTTCAGTTTTCAGGTGGGAAAGGGAATAAATATTTCCCGGTCATAGAACTAGATCTTGTTACAGTATAGAACACTTCACTTGTAGAGAAGGTTTTTTTCTTGGCATTAGACCCCATTGTCAAAATCCTAACTTTGTTTCGTCCGTCACAAGAATATCCACTTCATCAAGTCATGTAATAGCCTAAAATTCATATGGAACTTGTAAAAATAGACTATTCACATGCTACTTGAGGAAATTGGTCCAAGAATTGTACCTTGAGGCATTCCATAGTCATTTTTCGGAAGAAAGCTACTTCCTTCACTTATTTTCACAGCCTCTCTTTTCTCTCCAATGGAATTCTATATAATTTCTTCCACTGATATTTCATTACGGATATAATTAGTTTTCCCAATTTTAAAAATATTGCACAATGGAAATTCTTTATGTATCATTGATTATCAACTGGCAGTGAATTCTTACTAGGAACGTTCAATGTATTTGGCTACGCACAGTTTGATCTCGTTGATACTTATTCTCTAGAAGAGGCGAGTTTCCTGATTATTCAAAAAATGGTACAGTTTTCTTTATCTCAGGCCGATAACATACTTCGCGATTTCCGAGCGATTTTTGGAAGTCAGGGTTTCTTTCTGACTGGAGGCGGAATATCCCCTTATCGTCTTTTAGTATCATTCGGGCCTTCAAAGCAACCACTACGAGGGCTGCTACTGCCGCGATATTTCACCATCAAATGGTGGTAACCCTTTGCGCTTTGGAAGCAGAAGCCGCTTTTGCTGGGAGATGCCACCCAAAAAGGCACGACGTGCACCCAAAGAGGAACCAGGTAGAAATGTTTTCTAGTATACAAGTGCACCCCACATGCCTCATCTCTTGCCAGTTTGTTGGCAAACCCGGGGTTGCTTTTGTCCCACAAACAAGGGTGATTTTCTACGCTATGAAGTTTTCACTTCCATGCTCGAATTGCAACTAAAAATCGCGCGGAAATAGCCAACATTGGCAACCCCCATTTTTTTACCTTGATTCTCCCTCTACATGGTTGCCCTTGCCCTCCGAATGTCGCTCGGAATCCGAGGATCGGTGGGATGTAAGAAATCTCCGCTGGCATAAAAATAAAAAAACGCTCGGAAACCGCGCTGGAAAAAGCCGCTCAGAAATCGCGAAGTATGTCACCGGCCTTAGAACCAACACCTTCTCGAATTAAAAAAAAAGTGAACTTAGCAGTATGAGAACAACTGGAAAATCACTTCACTTTAAAGGACTTATTCAAGGGTACAAATATCACTCTTGTGAACTGTAATATATTATCAGAGAAGTGAAACTATTGAAGTATCCTTGAAACTGTATTGTGATGGTTGAAAAAGTATTAGAGTCTCGGCTTTCAATAGATACAAATGAATGGCTTTATAGTTGATAAAATATCAAATGAAATACTTACTTACCTATGAACTTTTCTCATTTTAATTTAATGTTAACACTTGTTTGTCGGTCCCAATCAAGTATACCTCATGAGACACGTACAGGCAATGAATCAAGTTGTTTTTCCATATAGATATGTTATCTTTTCTTATCTAGATCGTTTGTTTCTTGCAGATAGAAAGTGACGAAGTTCCACCTTACGGATACAGTACACCGGTGAGTGAAAATACCATCAACCTGTTTTGCATAAAAATGAAAGTAGATCTTTATAACACGAGAACGAACAATAACACATATACCCTATAGAGAACTAATAACTAACATTTATAAAAAATTGATTAGCAAACACCAACGATAAACACGATTGTTTGATTCGTGACTATTTAACCCCGCTGACATTTGTTATTTCACTCCTCTTGGAACAATTCGAAAGTAATGTTATTTTCAAAACAAACGTAATGTAGTCATCTAGTGTTATAGTGCCAATAAACTGAGTCACAACACTGTAATTCATGGAGTGAAGCAAAGGTGATTGTGAAATGAAGGACGAATGTTGGCCTCAGCATTTCGAAGATACACAATCATCAATATTGGGTGATATTCGTGGATTACGAAATGAACATTTCGAGAGCAATGGTGCAGTATTTTGTGAATGTTGTGTCCTTTCCATTGTTGTGCTGAGGATCCTGGGCAATACCATTCTTGCTGTGTCTCAGTAAAATGCAAATTGACAAATACACGGATATGTACCACTTAGTTGCGAATAAAATGAGTCTACCTATAATATCGTAAGGCCAAATTTCGAACGACAAGATATTGATGGTCAATTGATCAACATTCTAATCAATCACAGAATAGACATGGTTTCGAAGAGAGAAAAAACTATTCTCGCATTTGAATGTGTTGCAAACTTCGTACGGTTTGATACTCAGTTATATCTTATTATTAACGCTAGAGCTACCTACAACATCCATTTATATATGTAATATTCCTGTCCACACAAAAAGTTTCTTCTTCAGTCCTATTATTCCAGAAGAACATTGTGAATTAGTCCATAAGATGGAAATAAAGAAGGATCTGGATATAATGAGAAATCAGGCTTCACACTCAACGAGTCAATCAGAAATATTGCTGATCCATTGTGCGAAACAAATAAATAGGTATAATAATAATTTGGAACATGCAGTAATTAAGTGTTGTGTCAAAAACTGGATCATAATATATTCGATAAAATCATTGTTCAGTCATATTACAGGTAACCATAATTGAGACTACTTCCAAAAAAATTACCTACACCTCTTACCTAAGGTACCTGTTCAATTATGTTCACCTGAAGCATATTACCTCACATCTACATCAATAATAATTTTTTCTCTCGATTTTAAAGAAAACAAGTTCGCTAATGGTGATCTATTCAAATATAGTTGGTCATTCATCAAAATGTTCGAATTTTTAAATTCATTGATTTCCAATGCTTCCAAATGATTAAGTTTCAAACCTTTATTTCCTATGTGCAAAATTTCGAACTCTTCGTTGAAGATGTGATTGTCATCTAGAAAATGATTCGAATATGTTGAATTTGTTTTCTTATTTACATAGCTCGTATGATGTTCCTGGATTCTATTCCTAAATATCCTACCAGTTTGACCAATATAGATAGATAGATAGATTTATTGATCCTTTTTGCTACATAATGTGTAGATGGGATAAGTCATAATTGTGGTTAAGTTATAAACATGCATACATATAAACATACAAAGGTATAAACAAACATATAAATAAAATTCTAGGTCTAGATAGAATGCAAGTAAACTAGGTTTCACAATAAAAATAATTTTGTCCAGGCATCATATAAAATCCTATGTAATAATATCAATAATATGTCCAAATAAGATGTGGTACAAATATATTATTTAAATATAAATAGAGAAAAAAAAGGGAAAAATATGCATCACCAGCTTGCTTAGAAACAATAAACAAGGAGAGGTAACAAGGAAATTTCGAAATAAAGTTTTCAAAAGAAATACGATCGCTCATTGCTTACTTCAAGTGTAAATTCGTCTACTGTATAAAAATCTTTTTCTGATGAATAAGGTTTCAATTTTTTTTGAAGATATGAGGAGACAGAGTTTTTATATCGTTTGACAGTAAATTATACATTCGAATGCCGGCAAATTTAGGCGATTTTTTCATATTTTGCTTGATGATGTTTTCGTGTTATGATCATATATTTTCTTCTAATATTATAGCTATGCATCTCTGTTTTTGTTTGAAAAAGTTCTTTATTTTCATGTACATATGTCAATGTTTTTAAAATGTACAGACTTACAACTGTCAATATTTTATTTTCTTGGAATATATTTTTACATGAAGTTCTGAAGTCTAAATTAAATATAAATCTCAGCACTGCTTTTTTTATGAAAATCCTGTCTGATCCAGTAGCTAGTCCCCAGAACAAAATGTTCTGATACATGATCGAGTGAAATTTGGCATATAAAACTGATATCAGTGAATTTGTATCTAACTTCCACTTAAGAGATTTCATCAGATAGTATGATTGATTCAATTTCTTACATATATAATCTATATGTTCTTGCCATTCGAGGAGTGAGTCAACCATAGTTCCTAAGAATTTTGTCGAGCTGGTCAGTTTTAAAGGTTTATTTTGGAAACTGAGATTGAGATTATGTTAACTTCTCGATGAATTCGGGAATTGCATGTATACCGTTTTGTTCTGATTGACAATGAGTCTGTTCTTGTTACACCATCCATTAAATTCGATTAGAACAGCATTTACCATACGTGTCATATCGTCAGATGTTTTACTAGAAAGAATAATAGACGTGTCATCTGCATAGAGAAATATTTTTCCATGACTTATATTGAGAGGAAGATCATTTACATATAATAAAAATATTAGTGGCCCAAGAACGCTGCTCTGAAGGGTACCTGTTGTAACTGAAAATTTATCCGACTTGATGTTATTCTGCTTTACCTGGAAACATCTATTCGCCAAAAAAAGGAACAATTAATTGATTTACATTACCACGAATCCCAAGGTTGAAGAGTTTGTCTGCTACAAATTTGGTGTTCAAAGTGTCGAAGGCCCTGCTCGAGTCAAAGAAGACTCCAACAACACTATTTTTTCGTCAATTAAATCATGTATGTGTTGTGTGAAATTTAGCGTTGCGGTTTCTGTTGAGCAGTTTTTCCTGAATCTATGTTGGCACTCTGTCATCAGATCGAAGGTTTCGAGGTAGTCGTTTAATCTGAGAGATATTAGTTTTTTCAAAATTTTTGAGAGTACGCTGATAATTGATATAGGACGATAATTTTCCATACTCTTTTTGTCACCTCAGGGCACGTTCCACACTTTAATTTATATACTTCGATTTCTCGAATTCGGATGTTTTGTCTTTATTATTTTTAACTAAATTTCCCAAAGTATTACTTGTTCTATATGCAATTTTAATATCTCGTTTCCTCAAAAATGAAGCTACTTTTTCCGTTGGTTGTTCAAAATACGTTAAAGCTCTATAATCCGGGAGGGAATTATTATTGATGTAGATGTGAGGTAATATGCTTCAGGTGATCATAATTGACCAGGTACCTTAGGTAGAGGTTTAGGTAATTTTTGGAGATAGTCTCAATTATGGTTACCTGTAGTATATGAATATTAATGTAAGAAAAACTTGAAGTATAAATCACTTGAAAAAGCTACTATGCTAGGGAAACATGTGATATATTTTTCAAATAAAGTTTGTGGAGATCAAATCGTGAAGTGTAGTTTTTGAAATTACTATGGATCTTCATCAAGTAACGGCTGTGCATGAAAGAATAGTAAAGAATTTTAGAAATGTCCAACATTTCAGTAAATGTCAACACCGCTTCGTAGCAAACAGAAATTTGAAACAGCACTATTTGAACTTACCAATACTATACACAACTTCATTTATTTCTAGGACTTTCGAGAGCCTTCGATTGCAATGCTCCACTACATGGAAAACAGAGCTTGAACAAGTTGGTATTCGAAGAGTGGCTTTGAATTAGTTCGAATTCTTCCTTATTGGAAAGAATCATGTTATAAAAATAAAGGACATCAGTACAGGAAATTTCGTGAGACAAAAAGTTTTAGAAACATTGCTTGGGATCCCCCAGTGCAGTGTTCTGGGTCCTGTCATATTCATTATCTTTACAATTGACTTGGTAATGCTCGCTGAGCATAATGAAGTAATTATCAATTTGGCAGATGAAATCATCATGTCTATCTCGACCAATAACTTTCCTGAGTTAACAGAAATCACTAGCGAATCTACGATATCAATTCAGAATTGATTTACTAATTCACGACTTTTTCTCAATCCAGATGAAACTAGAACAGTCATCTTCAAAACATGTGCATCAAAACACATAATTATACCAAATATCAAGTTTACAGAATACAAAAAATATTTAGGAATATTTACTGATAAAAAACTATATTTGTTTGAGTGAATTTTATCAGAGGTCATCATTATCAGTAATAAGCTGATGCGACATAATGACAGGAAAAAATGTTGTTTATTCTAAGGAAACAGTGGCGGGTCACTGTTATGAAATAAAAATGAGTCAGTCATAATAACCTCCAGCTTATATTATTTACGCTCAGATTTTCAAGGCGTTTATTTTTATTTCTCGTTAGTCCACTCTACCATAACGAACTTCAATAAACCAATTCAGCTTTGAAACATTTAGGTTCATTATCACAATAACTGTAAAAATCAAAACAATGAGTTATAAAAATGACGCCTACACACCATTTACGACAGAGGCAAACCAGAGGAACTTGCGTGTTGAAGAACAATTAGAATGGTACCCTCTCTTATGGCAGCCAAGAGCTAACCCGCCGAATGTAAGTTTATTTTAAAGAACATAATTTTGTTACAAAGGAAATACTATTTGGAGAGTTTGTTTTCAGTTATTGTCAGAGAGTTGGACCATTCCTGCTTCTCATCATTACAAGATGTAAAGATAGAAGATTCAGATGCAGTTGCTGAAGTAGTTTTTATCGCTGTCATTATTCCCAAACATTCAAATTTATGCACCTTATTTGATTTGTTAATAGCGGTCTTTTGTTTCATTCCTGGCCGCTATATCATAGATTATGTTTTGATGGGTTCAACCACCATGGTGTAGAGCCAATAAATCATGTTTGGTTTCAGTCTCTATGTCTTTCCATAGGTGCATTTGGCCAGCATCAGTACTACCTCCACTTTCGTTTTCACCTTTCCAAGATATTGGTTCCAGGGCATCCTCGAAGTTTTTGAGGTCCTTGGTCCTCTTGGTGAATGCTACTATGGTTGATTCCACTGGGCTTATGGTCAATTTTTCCACGGTCCATTTTATTGTAATATTCAGTGCCTGTCTCATGCACTCCCTGACTACATTATTGTATTTGTCCTGGACCAGAATGACTGAGTCATCTGCATGTTTCAGTAATGAATATCCATTATGGTCTAGACGACGTAGTACCATTACAAGGTTTCATAGCAGTAGAAATAAAACTCCACTTCGTCAAGACAGCCTATTGTAACACATGCCACTAATCCTAATTTCTTGATGGTTGTGTATACCAATCTTCTTTCAAGCATGCAACTTACTCACCTTCAGCTTGTGTCGTCGATTTATGTTCTACTCAATGACCGGATGATTGAATTCTAAGCACCTATTATGAAATGCGCACTCGATAATATGATAGAACTGACCGAAACTTGATAAGAATTCATTATGACGTATTCAAAAAACACTTCAAAGTGAGATTTCTACAGGACAGTTTACATAACCACGAAATCCAAAATTGTATTTGAAAGTAGTTCTTTCATAACCCGATATAAAATCATTTCCAATGACATGTTCGCCTATACACCATCCCGATTGGATATGATAAACTCCTTAGTTACCGATTCAAATCCACTAGATCTGAGAAAAGCAAAGGGTGAGAGGTTGAGTAAACTGAATTCATGAAATTTGTTGAAAAAGAGCCCATGCAACGATTTATTCTTTGGTAGTCGCAGAAAAGAAGTGATCTGTATGCCTACCTTGTTCAGTATCCAAAACTGATTGACGGTTGCCTCAAAAACACTCTAGAGCGTACTAAAGTAATGGTTTGATATCTTTCCGGAAAGTCTCTTCCAATTTCCTTATTCCTTCAGTATCAGAAATGGAATTTAGAAGTAATACATAAAAATATTCATTTTATTTGTAACGTCAATGCATCAATGAGAAATTTTAAGTGAAAATGTCAATGAAGTGATGAGTTTTTTCATTTTTCTCAAGATTTCGGACGGCGTGGCGGAAGAATTGTGCATTTTGCGTTTGAAACACTTATATCCTCTAGATAGCATATAGCGGGGACGCATTACCACTCCGCCAGGCGAAGAAGTATACTGAGGAAGAACTCATCCACGATTTCTGCAACATTATGCAGAAGCGAGATCAGGCGATAGCTTTTCAGTCCTCAGCCTTTCCAGGTTCAAGAATGGGTACTACCTGATCATGCTTCACACATTCTTGGTAATATTGATATTCATTAATGAAGTTGGTGATATGTACCTGTTGCACAAAACCATTTAGAAGGAGATTGCGAGGTAAACTACACCATTTCCACTTTATTGGGAGATTTCCCTAGTCTACAAAACCGCAACACTTGTTTCCCTACGCAATAGCTTCATACTGAACACATCTGAGAAAGCTTTTGTTCGTGTAGTGACACACGTGCAGAAGTTTTGTAAACTGTTCTGAAAAAATCCCACAATGAAGTATTACTTGGAATACAATATAGATTTTCATCATGTATCGGTCATTTCAGCACATTCTTCAATCAATATAGTGTGACCAATATTTCCAATAACCACTTTTTGTTTTGTTGCCATCGGATACACTGGTTTCTGGTGAGATAATCATATAATCACACATGTTTAGACTAATGACTAGTTTTAGCTCAAATGCTCACCTGTCTGTAATATTCCAAAACAGGAAGCTATGTTTGAATCAAAATACCGTGAAATCGGTCATAAATAAATATACGACGCGCTACACATTCATCTAATACAGGAATCTTCTTCACGATAACTAATAAATAACTAGTTCTTACTAACTCAAAAATCAAACACTCAATCATAAATAATTTATAATATTTAGACTCTTCAGTTATGTTTGATGTCAAACTTGATTTCAACGGGAAACGCAATTTTTACCTCGTACAAAGATGAACTGACTAATTGAATGTTGACTGTGGTATATATGTTTGGTTTCATCATTTTCTCAGGCTCGTCCGCTCATTTTGAACTTCAGAAATGGCGTTCATTGCGTTGGTACTGTTATTTATTTCACTTATTCTCAATAATTTCACTTAAATGTTACGTGGCGATGTAAGGAACTCCGTAATCATTGGTAATAGTGAAATGAGTGAAACTGAAGGAATAGCTAGTCGTTTTTTGTAAACAACGGATATGGATAATTACCAGTTCAAACGATTGCTTGAATAAATATTGATTGTCGCAATTGGGAGCGATTGCAACTGATACATTGATTTGATTGTACTCGTATATGTGATTTGGAGTTTGGAATTTCATTTTCTGAACAATAAATTTCGTCAAAACAATAATAATCGAAAAAAATACATAAATAATAATTGTATAATATAAAACAAAGTTTCTTTATCAATCCTGTCTGACACAATGACACAACGCATTTATGACTCAACACCAGACCACTGTTTCGATCCGATGTAGGTCTCGTCAGTCGCATGGATTGAGTTCTCTGTCGATCCTATAGATGGCGTCTTCGTTAAGGGAGCTGTCATAACCCTTACTTACTTGTCCTTCATAGACAGTTGAATTTAGCAATGCATTTGTCGTTCAGCCTAGCACTACTGAGGAGAGTCATAGTGGGTCAAAACAGTGCTATCTGGAGTTGAATCAAAATTGCGTTATGTTTGATATTCGATCTCTGTCGATCTCAAGAATGGCAAGAGGGATGGCATCACCCTTTATTCAACGCAAACATTCCGAATGGATTCTCATTCAGTGTTCACCCATAAACGAACTCATGAAAGAGGAAAGTTCATGTGTTAATTTATTATTTTTCGATGTAAATTGAATGAAATACGATTACATTATCTGTATAAAATCGGGGCTGTTAAAATAAATATAATTAAAAAAAAACTAAAAAATACGATTTTGAAGAACATCGAACTAAAAACTTAAAAATACCAGTATTATTGTGAGAAATGCGACGTGCGCTAGATATATAAAAATATGGCACAAAGTGCCCACGCTTTTTTCACAACAATACTAGTATTTGTCGTTGTTATTGTTTTAAGCTTAAAAAAATATTTCTAACTTTTTAGTTCGATGTTCTCCAAAAGCCTGTTTTTTAGTTTTTTTGATCTATATCTATTTTTCACTTTTTAGTCCGAATTATTGTCAAAAATACTTTTTTTTTCAAATTCTAGTCACTAGTACTATAAATCTTCAACAGACGGCGCACGAAGACGGCGTAAAATTCCTCTCAAACAACATAATAAAGTTTGAGCATTGGTTTGAGGTCTTAGTAAGTCTCCAACAGAAGGCGGACAGTTGTAAAATTTGTTTCGAAGTAAAGAGAAAATTTGCAGTAATCATTTCAAAAAACAATTCAGTCTTGATATTTTGATTTGAAATTTCATTCAAAATATTAATGGTGAATAATTTTATTTTTCAAATCAATCTTCTGATTCGATATGTATGTATGTCAAGCACCTTAATTCTGATTTTTCGATTTTTTGAAATATTTAAGTAACTGAATTTTTTAGGTGTACAATTTACGATAAAGTTTTCATTGTTGAAATCCATATTCTGGTTTGGTTTCAAATAATCAAATTAGATTTTAAAATGTATCTTTCGTTTCGTTCAAAACTTTTTTCTGTACTGAATCAGGGGTGATTGAAAATATTTAAATAATTCATCTGTAGTACAAAATTTCGCTCATACTTATAATACTTAAAATATGTTTTTTATTTTGATTTTCTTTTGAACAACCTATCACGGAGATTACGTATAACGCCATCTGCCCGCGAATAGCTCAAGCGAAGTTGATTCTCACTGTTACTTTCTATCCATTCACTTTTATTTTTTTATGCTTTATAGTTTTTACATTCTCATACTTACATTTATATGTTACATGAGAATATTCATTATTATTATTATTATTATTTATTTCAATATGTAGCATATATATCATCACTTTCTGACTACTTTTTCACCCCAAAATTCTGAAATCACCAAATGTTCAAATTTCAAATACTACTTTTAATTTGTATAACTGATATTCTTTAAAATAATAAAACTTTGACAATAATATTTTATCTTCGATAATATCTTTTAAGTTGTATATCTTATATTTCTTAGAATAGTAACACTTCGTCAATGAGATTTCATCTTCAACAATAAAGTACATTTTGATTTGATTTGATTGATTTGATTTGATAGATAGTTACGTACAGCGCCATCTGTTCGCAAATAGATCAAGCAATAATTGATAGTTACGTATAGCGTCATCTGCCCGCGAATAGATCAAGAAATATCAATTAGGTTACGAACAGCGCCATCTGCCCGCGAATAAATCAAGCAATAATGCCGATTATTCTGTCAATACAGATCCCGATCTTGAGAGTTACACACAAACATGCATACAAACAATCATACATACATATATACATACAGGTGAAGCTAATATAAAGCGCGTAAAAATAAGGTGAATGATTGAACATCGGGCTACGTACATTCAATCAACGATTTTTTATCTCATCTCGAATAAACAGTTACAGTTTC